TGAAAAGAACCCTGAGAAAAACAGATCCCTTGTTATGAAGTTATTCAGGAAACCAAGTTGGACAATGGGCAAACATGGGACAGGGGCACAAGTGTATTTATCGAATAACTTGGGAACGAGAGCAGCTATCGACTCGGGGTCTTTTGCATCCGGTGGGAATTATCAATACGGCCTTTGGAACCTCAACAAGGCCTGATAATACGGAGAAATGCGAGAGAAAACAGCAATGGCACAAGTAGGGCACGATCCACTTGTGCCCAATCATGCCATGGGCCATTACTCACCCATTTGTTGGTATTATCAGGTTGTGATGAATGTCCAAAGGCCGTATAGATCTCCTCTACAAGATGTAATGAACCCTGAGTGAATAGCTGGCATGGTTACTGAGTTATTGGGAAAAGACAGTTGTGCCAACATGGCACAAGTTGAGGGCACAAGTGTGTTTGCTGAATAACTTGGGAACCAGAATAGCTATGGACTCGGGGTCTTTTTCATCTTGTAGAGGATATCCATACGGCCTTTGGAACATCAATAGTGCCTGATAATACTCAGAAATGGGGGAGAAAACAACAATGGCACGAGTAGGGCACAATCCGCTTGTGCCCAATCATGCCATGGGCCATTACTCATTCATTTGTTGGTATTATCAGGTTGTGATGGATGTCCAAAGGCCGTATGGATGTCCCCTACATGATGGAAAAGACCATGAGTTTATAGCTGCTCTGGTGACTGAGTTATTGCGAATAGACCATTGTGCCAACATGGCACAAGTTGAGGGCACAAGTTTATTTGTTGAATATCTCAGGAACCAGAGTAACTATGGACTCGAAATCTATTGCATCTAATATAGGATGTCCATACGGCCTTTGGACCATCAACAGTTAATACTCACAAATGGGGGAGAAACCAGTGATGGCACGAGTAGGGCATGATCGACTTGTACCCAATCGTGCCATGGGCCATCACTCATCCATTTGTTGGTATCATCAGGTTGTAATGAGTATCCAAAGGCCGTATAGATCCCCTCTACAAGATGCAACCAGCCCTGAGTGAATAGCTACCATGGTCACCCAGTTATTGAGGAAAGAAAATAGCATGCCAAGTCATGCCCTATCTTGTCCAGTTCTTAATAAATCAATGTCCAAAGGCCATATGGATTTCCTCTACAAGATGAAAAAAACCCCAAGTGAGGTGGGTCGCTTGTCGTGACGTTATTCAGGAAACAAAGTTGGACAATGGGCAAACATGGGAGAGGGGCACAAGGCACAAGTGTGTTTATTGAATAACTTGGGAACAAGAGCAGCTACTGACTCAGGGTCTCTTGCATCCGGTGGAGATGATCAATACAGCTTTTGGAACATCAACAGCACGTGATAATACTGAAAAATGGAGGAGAAAACAGCAATGGCATGATCAACTTGTGCCCAATCATGCCATGGACCATTATCAGGTTGTGAATGTCCTTTAATGAGCTGCCACTGGAGTCGTGGCAGGAAGGGCTGGGGTCAGTCTCAATAGAAGACCCCAGAGGTGTGAGATACCAACTCCAGTGGGACTGGGCAGTGAAGGGAGGTTCAATGTATATGTTCATATATGAAAGCTAATACACACAGGCTATGCATAACCACTTGACAAGAGGGGAAACACAGCAAGAGGGGGAGGCTGGGTGTCCATATGACATCATCAGGTGGAGGTAAGCAGGTCTGCCCTGACACATAGGACCCTCAAGTTGGGAACCAAAATGGAGCAGCAATGCAAAGTATGTGTGGCATGACCCAGAGATGGTGTCTACACCCATCTCTTCTGCAGCTCATCGCCGATGAAGATTCCCTTCCATGATCAAAACGTATTTGTAGATGTGTGACTGAATGGTGGCATGAAGACATTGGGACACTAGGGCAAGTAGGGTCTGGGGCATGCAATGCTCTGCAATTTCACAAAGAGTTTTGTTTGGAGGTGCATTCATCCTATGGGCAGCCTGTGTCAGCGATGGACTCCCTCAAAGGGGTCCCAAACTCACGTGTAGGTAAAGAGGGAGTGAAGAGGAAGTGGTAAAGAGGAAACAGAGGCAGTGGATCCCACCTTTATATACCTTTTGGATCTGCAAATCAGGTGATCAAGTAAATATTTTCTTGATCATGTGGCACCAAGTGAGGGGAAACTGCTATGTAAGCAGGAACCCCACTCATTAACCTAACCACCTGTAAAATCCCTTGCAAACTCCTATCCCTGGTGAGAGAGGCACCTAAACTCCATCATTTATTCATCAATGCCATGTGTGTTGATGTGTGACATCCAACTTGACCACATGATCAAGAAAAATTTACCTTGATCATGTGGTCATCAAAAATTTCTCTTGATGTGTCAAGCATTGCACATGATCAAGAAAAATTTATCTTGATCATGTGCTCATACGAAAAATCTATCTTGATGGCATTATGCACTGCCTTGACCACATGATCAAGAAAAATTTATCTTGATGCATAAGGTGGGAGCACTGCCATGTTTCCTTCAATATGAGTTGCCGCCTTTCATAGGGAATCACAGCCACAGAATCACATCACAGAATCACCATCACAGAATCACCATCACAGAATCACCATCACAGAATCACCATCACAGAATCACCATCACAGAATCACCATCACAGAATCACCATCACAGAATCACCATCACAGAATCACCATCACAGAATCACCATCACAGAATCATCATCACAGAATCACCATCACAGAATCATCATCACAGTCACATCTAATAATGGTATATAAGACCCACTTGCCCACCTCCAGTTATGGCTTCCACCTCCAACACTTCCACCTCTAACCCCTCTAACCCTTCCACCTCCAACACCAACCCCATGTCCCAGGCTGAGTATGATGCATTGAAGCATGCATCATTCAAAGGGTTTGCAAAGGCATGTCAAGTTTTCCCTTTTTTTGTTTCTCTTCCAACCCTTCCAACTCTCATAGGTCCCATTGTCCAGAATGGACCTCCTGCCACACAACTGTGAGGTCAGCTGGCATTGGGTGGCAGAGCACCACCGCTCCTGGGGCCACATGGTGACAAAGGACATCGAGCAGTATGCCATGGCTGGGCTCCTGCACACAGACGAGTCGATCGAGGTGGATTCGAATGGGTTCTTGGCTGGAGATGAACCAATCCAGATCATCCATGGGCAGCACTGCAAGGCTGTGCTGCAAGTGGTGATCGCTGTGGAGCTTGGGCATATCCAGGACCTTCCGGTCAAGAAGCATGAATGCCAGGGTCTGTCAGCCACCCAGATCCGATCCATCCATGCATCCTCCAATGCATGGTGGTTGGTGGCGTTATACAGAAAGAGTAAGTATATCTACGATATGTATGCATTGCATTCGCTAACCACATGATTGCAGAGGTCTCTGAGAACAGGATCATGTTTCGATCCTGGTTGTTGGAGGATAACCTTCAACATGCCAAAGCACCTCTGACATGGGCAGACTTCATGCCCATGGTGCTGGATGTACTTGAACAGGACCCACCCCCAACCCTGGATGCGATGAGGAACTTCATGGCTCAGTTCCACAGTGACAAACAGCTGTCTGTGATCAAACCATGCCTGAAGTCTGGTGCCCTGAGGCGGATGTTCAGAATCCTGCACCGGATACCTTGGTTCCGTGCAGAACACAGGGGAATAGCATTCAAGCCTTGGCACAACCAAGGAATGCACAATGTGAGTGATGATGATCTCTATCATATCTTCTGCTCACCGCTTTGCGGATAGTTCTTTGCAGCTGCCACAGAAATCTGTCTGTGGCAGTTGATTCCGATGGTGACCCGTGGTGAGAGAAGGTCCCAGTGGATGCCATTGAACGTCCCTCAGGAGTGGTGGGGAGAGATGACAAAGGAGAGGCTGGTTGCAAAGGGTTCCAGCACGGTGGCATGGGTTGACCTTTGCCAACGAACAAAGCTTGCAATGGGGACGTGTCCACGGGAGAGGGTGGAGGAGGCGAGGTACGTGCCAGCAGGGTTCGCTGGGAACCTGCTGGAGCCACGTCCAATCGTTGGAGAAGGATGGAGCTTCTTCAGGTTGATGGTGAGTTTGTCGTTCCATCAAAATATGACATGATGACGATGATGAGAACAGTGGGTGAGCCCAGAGTCACTGATCCACAGTGGGTCGATGGTTTTGGACCAGTTGAGGATGCTGGAAAGGATGTTCCAGATGGTATGTGAACGACATCGGTTTGGGATTCAATGGATCATCATATATGATAGGTGGCAGCTACCCTGGAGACGAGAGAGGAGGAGAGCAGTGCAAAGAAGTTGCGAGGGCATGGAGGGTCGAGGGGAGAGTACAATTACTTCCCAAGCGACCCACATGAATTGTTTTGGGAGGAAAGACTCCGGTACCTGTGTCAAAGGTACCGAAAGGATGAGGTGCAAGTGGACGGTAACAAGGTATGATGGTCACTGTATGAATTTTAATAGTTTAATTTACAGTTGGTGGAAGAGATCGTCATGCGGTTCGATGGGCTCCAAAAGGGAGTCAAGAGCACATGGCTTGGAGTGGACCCAGATTGGAAGGCAGTATCGATCACAGCCTTTCGTGAAGAGGATGCGTGGTACGAGCTGTTTTGGGATACCTTTGTGCCAAGAGGGCACAAAGGAGAGTTTGGATTTCAGAGTGGGATATGACTGCCACAATGCTCTCCAGCGGTGATGGAGTGGAGATGGATCACACAGGGGAAGCAGAGGGAGACGCTTGAGGATGCGCAGAAAGGTCTGAAGGAGATTGTGAGCAGCATCCACAAGGTGGACTGGCTGGTGACTGGGATGGAGGATGCAGTGGTGGAAGGGAGGAAGGAGAGGGATCGACTGGCTGCAGAGGAGGGTTCGAAACAAGCGAAGATCAATGCAGAGATCAAACGGTTGAACGAACTGATGGAGAAGAGGTGGGTGGAGGGGGAAAGAGTGAGGGAGATGCAGAAGAAGATGCAGCAGGGTCTTGGGGATGAGGGGGAGGAGGAAGAGGTGGTGGGTGGATCGTCATCCATGGGAGGTAAGTGTGGATATCATCATCGTATTACATGTGGTGATGAATCGTGGATCGTAGGGGGAGGGCACCCGATGGGACATGGACCTTTGCGAGCTCAGCTCAAGGAGAACCATCATGGAGAACTTCAAGATGCAGTGAGGGAAGCACTGCATCAGGTGTACCACGACCACCTGGAACCTGGAGAGGCTGAGCAACTGCTGAGATTCCAGATGGATCTGCATGGACACAGTTGGGTGCTGAGGCAGTTGATGGTGGGGGAGATGACGTTCCAAGGGCGAGAAGGAGGGGATGTGGACATGCTGGTGGATGGGGTGCTGGAGCGCTCAGGAAGGTTCCTGGGGGGACCCCACATCCAAAGGGGAACAGGAGGGGGAGGAAGGCAGGGGAGGAAGCGACAGGAACGGGAGGAGGAGATGGAGGATGAGTTGGAAGCGATGCTGGGAGGGGGTCAGGTGTGCCGAAAAGACCAAGGAGGATTCCAGTGTGGGAAGGGGATTCAGAGGAGGTGGGAACGAGAGGGATGGAACCGATCGTGGACCTGTCATGGCAGCCTGCAAGGGGGGGGGCAAGGAGAAGTGCCTGGGATGTCACAAAGAAGCAAACGAGTGGATGAGGGAGCACAGGAAGTGCCTGGGACATCACCAGGGTCGGAGCTGGAGAACTAATCTATAGAAGAACCCAGCAATAGGCTATTGCTGCTGCACCCTCAGGGCTGGTAGCCTTGCACCACTTACATGATGTTCACTGGGGAACTGGCACCAATGCCTAAGGTCAAGGACCCTGAATGGCATTACCTGTTGTGGTTATTTCTACTTGTTTTCTATTCAATCTGTGCTTTGTCAGAAAATCACAAGATCGATCAAAAGCACAAGACTTGACATTTAAAACACCAAAATTTGACGTTTAAACGTGAATTTTGGCATCTAAACATTGTGATAAATTGTTTATGGCATTTTTTGATATTATTGAATGCGTTTTTATACCCCTCAAATGCTCTGAATATGTTTTTATTAACTTAATAAATGTGTCATAAATGCTTCCTACAGCATCAAAATCGTCAAAAACCCATCTCATATAAAGTACCACCACAACTGACCAATGTATTCTCATTGGCTGTTGGGTAGTTGTTGTAAAAAACGCCATGAAACATTTCCTGGGTGTTTAAACAATATACAGGATTTTCCGACATTTCTATAGTGTCATGTGACTGCAGAGTTGCTCTTTATTGTTCTTACTTGTGTAATAACACTAAAGTGCAACTCAGACTGTGCTATCTGCTGAGTTATAATATTACCATGAATGGATGAACCATCCTACTCAAATCCTCAAGGCTCAACGAGTGAGTTAAGTGAGTAACTGATGAAGTGCTTCGATGCATGCTCACAAGATTTTGCTTGCCTCTGCTACTTACACCAATTGTGTGAATATCTGAACATAGCAATGCCTTCCTCCACTCTCCAAATCAAGCTGTAAGTGCATTGCCAACATTACCCTATGTTTTGCTCATCAGTGTCAGGGACGCGTCTGGGGTCGAGAGGGCCCGGGGGTAGTATCTGGCACTGAGGCCATCACGGGGTGTGGAGCGGGCATGCGTACTGGCGGGCCTGATCCGGGACAGTGGTCCCTGGCCACTCAGACTGAAGTGGAGAATGTGAGAAGAAGGTTACTTCTTCAGTTCCCACTTCAGGTACATTTATGTACATGTGGCTTGAGTCACATGACAGGTGCCACGTCATCCTCGGGGGCAGCCGCAGGCATCCGGGTGTCCCCGTGGGGGATCCCAAGAGTGTCCGCTGCATGCGCGCATGCTGGGCACAGCGGGAAGCTGTCCAGGGTGTGTGGGCCAGACGGGTCAATAGTACATCGATACAAAGGAAGGTGGTCCGTGTAGATAGAAAGAAATAAACAGGAAGAGGAAGGTGAGAAGAATGAAATAAAGAAAAGGGGAAAGAAGAGGGAAAAGAAAGGGGAGGAGAGGGAGGAAGGAGGGGGGAGGGGGATAGACAGCGGGGAGCGGGTGTGGTGTGGCCGGGTGGGCCCGGGTGGGCCCGGGTCAGGCGGGTGTGCCCTGACAATCAGACCATTTCCAGAATGATTCAGTGTCCCTCATGTGACCAAAAATTCAACAATTGGAGATCCATCAAGGCTCACATATCTCATGTCCACCAGAAACACATCAAGTCCATGGGGGAGAAATTATCATCACTTGCAATGTGCACACAAATAAGTTCCATTGCCCTCAATCAGATTGCAATTAAATGGGATTTTCCCATTTTTAGCCTCTTATGGGCTCTATGCAGTACAATATCATGTGACATGTATATAGTAACAACTTAACCAACAACTATCACCAAAAACACCCAATGTCGATGTCCCTGTAAACCTCATTGTTACAACCTCTGCCATATTAACTGTAACACCATTTCGATGTCACAGCCCTCTCCTGCACCTGAATGCTATAGAAATGGGCCAATTAGGCCCCATTTTTATAACATGTGGGCTTGCATGAAAGACGTGTCATGGCCCTGCCAAAGGTGCCCATCTATTACCACTCTCCCACTTCCCCACCACCTATCTTTCCCTGTCAGTCCTCTCCATAATTCGTCACTCAGTGGTGCCAATAGTTGACCCTGTCTGCAGTCCCACATCGGCACATCCTCCCTTCCCATCACCACTCTAACTTTCTGATCACTCAGCTACATGCTATTCATTTATTGCCAACCACCCACATGTCCTGTTCCTGTCAGAACATGGCGAGGAGGGAGCAAGCGTGTCTGGACCTTTCCCCAGAAGGGAGGCTGGAGGTAGAGGATGAGCAGAAGGACTGTGGCCTCAGCAACTTGGAGGCGTTTGGTAATGCTTAGTGTTGGGTCCTTAACTTCAGAATGAGGGGGCATGAACTCTGGGGGAATAGTCATTGTTGTCAATTTTGCACTGAGGTACCATCAACTACAGTACATGACTTATTACAAGACAAATAGGAACAAAGGGAAAACCCAAGATGGACTTACCCACTTGCCAGGTTGGCAAGCTTGTGAGAGAATTGCCTTATTGAGCACTGTGGAGTGGGTAGATGAAGGGTGGAATTAGTGACAGCTATTGGAAAGTGGGAAAACCTTTATGGGGTTGGTGGAGGTCCTAGGAGGTCCATAGTAATATTGGGTAGATAGAAATATTAATAAACATTTAAGATGAGGATAAGAGGTACCAGAGAAGGTACCAGAGATCAGAGGCAGAGGTGGACCAGAGCTTATGGTGGAGGTGAGGGAGAGGATGGACCAGAGGTGAACTGGAATGGTGGTGGAGTAGATTGGAGGTTGGGTGGAGTTGGTATAGATATGAGAGTATCCCCTTCTTAGGCCTGAACTGTCATATCCATGCATACCCGATCCTGTCAGGGATCGGCCCCTGACCCCGCTGTCAGGGCACCCAACCACACCCCAGAACCACCTTCCCAGACTTCCCCCACTTCCCAGACCTCCCCATCCCTACATACCTCTCACAACTTCAGCCCGCATGTGAGCCCGTGGGAAAAATCACGTGGGTTAAGGCGAGCAACTCGCCTTAACCCATGTGACACCTTTTCCGAGTCGCGGGAACATGCTCGGCTTCTACCCGGAGTCACGTTATGAACTGTACAGTACACTTCCTTTTTATAGTAGCCAAGCGGGGAATAGGGAAACTTACCCTTCTTCTCAACTCAATCCCCGCTTAGGCAAGTTGTAGTTACCCTCTGTAATACATGACAACTCAATCCCCGCTTAGTCCCTTCAGTGAGTTTGAGGAGCTGAGGACAGGGTCTAGCACCCAACCACCCAGAACACCGCACACACCTAGGACTGAGGTCGGGCTGTCCCTGATCGAGGACCGAGCCCTGACAGATCCCAACCCGACTCCCGGACCTCCTCCTTCACCACCTCCGGAGTCCTACCCTACCGCTGTCCATTCTGATATTCACCTTCGGTCCTGGCACCACACCACCCTTCACCTCCCATGCCACCTCCACTCCTCTGTCACTCTCCTGTCCTATCTCCATCCGCTCCGATAACCACCTTGGACCAAACACCACCCCTCTCACCACTCCCCCTCCTACTCCTCCTCCCACTCCTCCGCTCCCTCCTCACAACACCTCCACCCTTCCGTCATCCTCCTACTCTTCTCCTGTCCGCTCTGATACCCACCTTCGGACCTGACACCTCTCCTCTCCTCCTTCCCCTCTCTTCCCTCTGGTCCTCTTCTGCTGACCTCCTGCCAAGTTACAACCTTCCACCGCTGCCCCATACTTCGTACTCGGTTACCACTTGTACCTTTGCTCCAAGCCTCTGTCATAGTTCCTACCTCGGACTTTGACTCCACCTCGGTCTTAGTCCATTGCATTGGTGACCTCATACTATGTAAACACCATTGCCAATATCCCTTGGACTTTCAACCCCGCCTCCATAACCTCCATAACCTCTGCAACCTCCGAGCTTCGTGGATCGCCTTCAGCACTTTCGCCGCTTGTAATGTATCTCTCGCGTTTTCCCCTCATCCCTATTTGGACTACTGCTTCTTCCCATTCTAGCCAGTTAGTCATCATCCCCACTTCTCCTCATCCTCCTGCCCCTCTGGGCCTCGCCCTCCCTACCTCCTTTCGGACGTATCACAGGTCCTGCCTTGTGACCTTCAGTACCGCTCCACTTCTGTTTACCCTTTGTTCCCGTTCGGACGTCTTCGTTCCGATTCAGTTTCCCTTTGTTTCCTTGTGCTTTTGCCCCCTCCATTATATATATCAGTGCTTGTACATACTCGTTTTGGTTCAGTCCGAAATCGACCTGAAATGCCCCCTAGAGACTTCCTGCTCACCTACTGTGAAATTAAGGACCAAATGGACAAACAGCAATGGCACAGTGCTCCGCCTGAGTCGCTGAGGCCAAGGTCCCTCCACGCTAAGTCTCCGATTCCACTCCGGAGTCGTCTGTATCCGCCCAGTTCTAACACCATGGTGGGGTGCATGTAGGAGGGAAACTAGGGCTCACTCCGCTAATGGTCATGTGATTATCTTAGTAGAAAATAAATTGCCAACAATTAAATTGTCAAGGTATCGTCTATTCAGTTCATTCCTCACATGTGGCCCTCCAGGGACTTAAGCTTAATACACCTTATTATTGGCCAAGCTTGCAAGGCATCTGTTTCTCTGGCTCTCCACTGACCTGTAGAGATGAACATCATCACAGAAGACCTTCTCCCTGAATGGTGGTACATGGAATCCTTTCGTGCTCTGACTGCAGCATACAAAGACTGCGAGTGCATCAGCAAACTTGGTAGGGAGCTCTGTGAGCTCTGTGAGCTCTGTGAGCAAATTGAGTCTTTTTGCTGTGCACCCTCTACACATTGGGTGGAGAAAATTAAATGTTTGAATGATTTTGTTCTCCTGAGGATGCAGAAGTGCAAAGATAATATGTATATACATTTTTGGAAATGCATATTAAATGGCCAGCATCATTACTTGAAAAGCTCTATGAGCTCTATGAGCTCACTGAGCTCATAGAGCTCATAGAGCTTTTTGTTTTTAAATAATGGATGGTCTTCATATCTCCATGAACTCTGCTTAGTTGTTTTGGCACCAGTAGTGCAAAGATAATATGGATATATGTGTGTGTAAAATGGCCATTGTCATTACTCT